GTCGCACAGTGGTTCGAGTCAATTAGAGAGGTCGGACGTTAAAGTTTTCAATAAAACTGCAAATTTTGATGTTTAATTCGTCATTTTTTAAATTTCAAGGGGTGCTTTGAGAAGAAAATTTTACGAGGAAACCAATGAAACCACATCTAGAACCTTAGGGTTTTGTATGAGCGAAGTAATGAGCGTTTAAAGTTTTCAAATTTTGTCCAACCTCTCCTATTGACTCGATCAACTGTGTGTCGGAAGGGGTCCGTTTCCTCCGGTATCGACGTTCAACGTCGACGGCAAAACTCCCAAACCACGTAACTCGTTTGCGATGTTTAAGAATCTCCGCTCCTGTTTTATTTTTTTAAAACGCAAAGTTATACCAAAGGAGACCAATTGGAAGTATCAATGCGAGAGGGGATTCAGAAACATTCTTTTGATGGATTCTTTTCAGTTTTTGACGGACTTGGATTGTCCGTGACGTGAGCAACTCAGTAATATATATATGACCCGAAAATACTCAGTTTATCCCGTGGAAATATCGTTTTAAAACTGTGAAGGAGAAAATCGGCGATGATAACTCAAATCAAACGGAACTACGTCTGGCCCCCTTTTAAATAAATCAATAGGAACGAGAGAGTTGAGGCAACGCGGCTTATGGATGTCACAAACGGGAATAAAGATTACACGAATCGGAAGTTTTTTGTAATCTTTGATCAACCCATTTCCGAATCCCTATCTCCGTTCTCTCTCTCATTCCATTTGTTCCTTGCCGTACCCCCAATTTCCCGGTCCATTGCAGTTTATAATCTTTGCAATTGGTGAAACTGTAATCTGTATTTCCGTTTGTGACATTGAAAACCTAGAATACGGGAACCAACCAGAAATGTTTTCGTATTGAGTTCGCCATCAGTATACAGGGACTCTGATAGGAAACATATCCAAGAAATAGTGATTGCTCTGCTTAGGCAAATCTAGAGGGAGGGAGGGGGGGGGGCTCAGGGGCAGAGCCAGATTTACCTACTTGTCACCCATGGGCCGCCTATATTTTGCCGCCCCTTCTCATTTGTTTTGAAACATGGATACAAACCATCAAGTGAACGTGCCGGAGGAGAAGGGGTGCCTACGACGCGTTTACCCGTGTTGGACACATTTTTTGTGAAAGTCCTGTCAACACCAGCAAAATTTCACGGAACTTTGTGTGAAAGGTAAGTTTCTCAAACCAATCTCCGTGTGGACAAGGCCTTCCACTTATAAGAAATTAACAAAAAAATTATGAAAGTACAAACATAAATGTGGTTTAATAATTTTAACTTCCGCCGCCGCGCCGAGCTGAACGCACTAAGTTTGGCGCAATGCGTGAAGTATTCACCCAGTCATGTAGGCGCTATGCGTTTCGCGTCGACCGCTGCTGACCGCACTACGTTTGACACAATGCGTGAAGTATTCATGGAGTCTTGTAGGCGCTAATATGTGTTTCATGTTGACCGGCGCGCCGAGGGCTTCTCCTTTCCATCTCAAGTCTTCGTCATCATTGCTCTCTGCTCCGCGCCGTTTCAGGCCAAATTGCGTGTTTGGTTTCTCTCTCAACTAGACTAATGAAAGGCGCTGTCTCTTGTATCACCGAAAGACGAACAAATTAGAAATTACTATACTTTAACTCTCAGGAAATGAGAGATTTTTTCGCCTTCTCTCGTTTGTAATTTTTTTCCTGAATCAGATTTTTTTCTTGATATCTACATTTGAAAAAATTACAACATTTACCGCCATGGGCCGCGGCCCAGGTGGCCACTCCCTTAATCCGGCCCTGCGCAGAGGGTGATTTCTGATTTACCATTAAATTTTGACCGCCGAATGTGAATGTGACCTCGGTTTTTCTTAAACCTGAACAGATGTCTTGGAAAATTTGATTTTCTGTAAAAAAGCTAGATTTTAGGGGAAATTCCGATCTTTCCAGGGAGAACCGAAATGATCCAGAAAAACGGAGGTCATTTTCGGTATTAACAGTAAAAATAAATGTAGAGGTAGTTACCAGATCTTTGGCGAATCTTAAACAAAAATTGATGATCAAATTGATGAAATTTAAGTTTTTCTACATTTTTAGTATGTAACAAAATTTTTGTGGACCTTCGGGCTAATCCGCTGTTTGTATCAGTTCCATCATGCAAAGTTATAATGAAGAAGCTTAAAAAAAGTCTCTTTTCAAGAATTTTTTAAAACCTAAAAGTGAAGGAATTGCTAATTTTTTCCCGGTTAGCGAGGACATTTTTTCCGACTCATAGGAATTCATGGGAATTCATTTAATTTCCGTTGGCAGACCTACAGAAAATACCAGAAATTTGCCCCCTCCGCAGGTGATATGTACGTTTTTGCGCGATCTGACTTTTGCGCACCGGTTCGGACAGAAATCAATCCAACATATTGGTCAGTCGCGCGTTAACAGGTCGACGGCGTTGGTCTCCAGTGTTTCATTTCACTCCATTTTCAGCTGCAATATTTCTTTTATTTTTAAATTAAATTCCTGCTGTTGTTGGAGACATCAAAGCAAGAGAGATTCGCGGGCCCAAACGTCATGATCGTGATACTTTCATTGGCAACGGACAACATTCGCGAACAGGGAGGAATGTGCTGTCCCCTAAATCATACAAAGCTAAACCTGGCCCATACAGTCAACGAGTGATTCACCTGTGGATTGAATTTCGACCGGCGGCACTCAAGGTCCAAAGGAAAATTGATTAAATGATCAAGGCTCGGACTCTATCTCAGTGAGTGTTACTACTTATACTTATGTACACTGGTTCTTGGAACTGTCCAGTTTCAAAATGCCTTGATCTGAAAGTTTGCTCGATAACTTTTCAGCCTTTTTTGGATCGATGAAGGTTAGTGCTGTCCTTTAAATGAAGCGTCATCCTGTAATTGCGAGACAACATGTTGGGAGTTTTAAAAAAGTACATATGTGTCATGATTTACGACTGACGACATTATATTACATACAAACATGCCAATTTGAAATTGGAAAAGGGTCTCCTAGGGAAGTCTGCAGAATAGCTAGTGAATCAAGCCTAATATGAGCCCAGTAAATTACACTCTTAATTATGAGTTATGAAGTTTTGGGTATCACTTGTTGAGCAGGCTCCTTTAGAATATTCAGGGGGTTTCATTTAAAAAAATTTAAGTATGGAGGGATTTTCCTGATGCGATCAACTTGACAACTTTGTTCCTTATTACAAAATGTAGCTCATTTACAAGATTCGCATTTGAGCTGCGTCGGAATAAGAAAATACTATTTCTGGCTTATTTTTGAAACAATGTACGTGCCATTAGCTCTCCAAAACAGAGATGCTTGTAAGCAAAAAATAGTTCCTTGTTGAGAAATATGACCATTTGACCTCTCATAACATCATATTCGAATGTTCTGACCGAAATCAAAATGAAATCTCTTCAAAAACTGTTATCTATGCAAAAGACTTAGACCTCAAAACTTCTTCTAGTATTAGTGTCATCTCCGTCACCGAAGAGGACATAGCAACCAAAGGGAAGCTGTAGATTACACCCCCTCCCCTCTTCCCTTTTGAAGGTGGAAGCTTTTTTTTCTGAATTGGATGCATTTAATTTTATCAACTCTAATTAATGAGGCTCTCAGTTTCGATTGTTACACACACATTTGGATAAAACGCCGACTTGCCAAACGTTTTACTGCCTCTCCTCCCTCCACTCTCGCCGGTAAAAAGTAACAACATGTAGCTAATTGCTACGATGGCCAGGAAACCAAAGTGCCTTCAATTGCTTACGTATGCAACACGGACATCAGAGTAGCACGTATAGTTGTATTTCGGAGTTATCCTAAAATCTGCATCGTGTACCTCGGCTGACATACCAACGGAGGACGCTTAACTGCTCGCAAATTAAGGTGATTTCTTCCAAGAACGGAACAAACATTGATAAATCGAACTTTTGCTAAAACACGAAATTAACTTTTCTTTCTTTGTATAAACATAGAATGAACAGTGTAGACTCATATTTCGGCGGTCCATCGGTGAAAAATCTTTTCCGAAAACCCTAAATTAAAGCCAAATGAGACCAAACGGAAAATGTCGCATTCGATTTGAAGAACTGTATACAATGTATTATGATTTGGCAGAGAAGGATACCATGTATTCAAGACAGCAGTGAGTACAGGTCATCATGGAATAATGAGGACGGATTACAGTTTCGTCTGAAATTCGACGTCAATTTTTGCGCACTAACTGTTATCTTAAAATTTCGTTTTACTCTTTCGCTCCCTTTACTGGTAAAATAATTACTGTCATCTAATGGGGGGGGGAGGGAGGGAATCGTATCAAACTTTTTCACTGATAAGACGAATTCGGCTGTTTCCGGCGAATCACTACTGAATCAGTCAGTTTATTTTAAGCAAATTGGTTTAATTTCGAAGGAAATTGATTTGTAAAACTGAAAAATTTGCTTGCAAATTCTAAAAGTGCCTAAAGAGTTGATTTCACAGTATTTCTCATAATTTTTTTCTGATATGGGAAATAGTATAAAAATAGATTTAAAAGTGAGAAAATGCATCGCCTAGTGACGTCATCTAGCAGAATTTCCCATTTAAGCACACGTATTTTGGCAGATTCGATCACTGTGGTATATTTACTCCAATAATTGTTCAATTCATGAATCAAGGGTATCATCATGTTTCGTTCACTCAGTAGTTTCCACTTAAACACGAAATTCATGAAATTTCCGACACCTGCAAATCCTATATTTGAGCCTTATTTCTCTCTGGGAAAATACGGGAGATTTCTTCGAGTGTAGGAGTTTCCTGAGCGGGCGGCGGGTGGCGGAGAGTAAGCCTGAAGGCCCGAGAGCCCCCCTCGGAAGCGCGGGAAAACAGGTCATGCAGGGCGCGAAATGGGCGCGCTGCGCGGTGCGAATTCGGCGTGGCTCGAGGGCGCGGGGGCGGGGTTTGGGGGGCGCGAGGGACGTCGGCCAGGACCCCGCGGCCGAGCGCCGCGGCGCCGTGCGCAGTCAGTAGTCAATAGTCCCTGTTGAATCGCGTCGCAACCCCGACCCGACCCGTGCGGCGTCGGATATGACCAGTGCGTCGCTGCCCCTTTCCGCGCCCGAGTGTTTTGTTTGGTGACTCTTCCTGTGCAACATGTTTTCTGTGGTGGTTTTGTGAGTCGCGTTTTTCGAACTATGCTCGCGGGTGTGCGTGACGAGACGTGAATCTAGCTCCCACGTTTCAGGAGACGTTACGCCAGCTAATCGGATCCAGTGATTTAAAAACAAGTACGTTCCCATCTCACTTACTTTTGGGAAATCTACCGAATTCTGCACGCAACAGTCGAGCTTTTTCAGAGGCTCATCAGGTTGTGGAACGTATGCTTTTATATGTGTGTGCAGGGTGGCATGAAATGTAAGAAAGAAACAAAATATTGGAAATTTCAGTGAAATATTCCATGAAATTTCACGAGGCTGTGAAACATATCATATTTTTCAGGGGCTTGAGTATGCATCCCGCACTGGAATACACAAAAATAGAAGCAAGTCACAGTTTTTCCATTCTGCGAAAAACGAAAAGGAACCGGTTTTTTTTTCAATATTTTTCATAAATTCCTGAAATTTCATCAAATATTTCACGTGAAATTTCAAGATTTTATTTGTCATGAAATTTTGCCACCCTGCGTTATGTGGTAGGCCAGTTTGACGGTGAAACCGCAAAAACGCTCATTTCTTCTGCCGCCTTTTAAAATCCAGGCTCTCTCCATGTCTTATAAAAAGAGAACGAAGCAACACGATTTCTAGAAATAATTACATAGTATCCTTCACTCAGAGAGGAAATATCAGGAAGGTTTTCATGGAAGACGTTAAAATTTTTTTTTAATTTGAAAAAAAAATTAAGACAGTAAATTAACATAGCGTCGTAAGCCAAGATATGAACGATTTTGTAGTTTTACCGTGAAATTTTCAAATCAAATATTTCGTCAAATGCCCAGGAAAATATAGTCAAATAAACGTGCATAGTAAATATCCCAAAGATGATTGCACATTTGAGGAGCTTGGAGGGTAAGGCGCATAAGTGCAGTTTTTGAAAAAATTGAGATATTAATTCTTTCAAGTAAAACTAGTCTTAATGCATATTCTGTGAATAATTCGCTCGCAAATAACAATTTTTAAAAGTCAGCTTGAACTCTCTTTCCGCCATAAGGATCCATGTAATTTCGAAACTTCAAACACGTATTTTTCGAAACAGCAAAAACTCCACTCATGTGCCCTGTTCTCCAAGCCCATCATTTGAAAATTTTCATGTGGGTTAGCTAGAAAATATTACATTAAGTTCGAGCAGATATTGTAAAATTTGTCTTTACCAGTGACATAAACAAGTCTCTGTGCTTGTTGCTCAATTTCATTTTCAACGACATTGCATTTCCGACCGCCAGCGAGGCCTTCTATTAAGAGTGCATCGCAACAAAGGACGCATTTCATAAACTCGAGACGCTCCGGCACTTCGCGATAACGTCTGCTCGTCTTATACTTGAGTAAACTTCAGGACGTCGATGGTTTACGAAGCCCGCCCCGCGCCGTAAAGCAGTCCTTGGAAACTCCGAGATTTTAACTTAACTTTAACGGTTTTAAAGCCCTCCTATCTTTTTATGGACATAATCTCTGTCTTACACGCACACGCTTGACGCTCGGTATAATAAATATAATTTTTATATTTGGAGGAGCTACAATTTTGGATCGCGAAGTATTGTGTCCTTCGGGCGTTGGACCGACTTTTAGCCACCTCTTCGGCAAGCCCCTTTCTCTCCTCCTTCCCATTGTTTATCCCGCGATTATTTTACCTCCGGTTATTGGGTTTTATACTTCTTTTTACAGAAAATAATCAATTTGATTCAAGTAATCGCCGTAATAAGGAAGAACGCCGTATGAATCTTCAGGCGTTGCCAAATTTCCTTTGATAAAACACAAATTCCCCGGTAAACTTATGAATTTTCCTCCAATTTTTCAGATTTTTTTTTTTTCGCAATTTCCCTTAAAGCTCCTGAAAACGTCAAGGAAAAATGTTCATAACTTCCTGTAAAAATAAACATTTTAGCGACGTAAATTTGGCAACTCTCGAATGTTCATACGGCGTTCTTCCTCAGCACGGCAGAATAAAGGACTCCCCATTCGAAGAGAATGAAGGAGGGATGAGGCTAACGAGAAGGCGAAAAAAGTCTACCGCCCATTAATAAACTTATGGCCTTGGCAAGAAATCATATACAGGCCTCTGCGTGGGCGCTGCAACGTTAATCTTCGTAAATTAGACATTGTTACCACCCAAGTGTTTGATACCGGGCCGCCGCGCGCCGGACCGAGGAGTCTAATTAATTCTCTCCCTAAGTTTGTGACCAGTGCCACTGGAACTTCGTAATAACAAGATTCTCTGACCTTCACTGTTTCTTACAAATTCAGGGCGAGGCGCCTTTTTTGGGAAAATCAAAATTTTAGTAATAAAACATTAACGTTGATCGGACCGATTTAAACCGAATCAACTTAACTGCAATTCACATCGCCTGAATTCCTCTCACATTGTACTGTTTTAACATGAAATTAAGCCGCATGATCATTGGCGGATCCAGCATATTGGTAACATTGTTTTTCACCATTTAAACCTGTGAAAATGTATCGATTCTTTGAGGGGCCAGGTGTTTTTCTCCATTTAAACCTATGAAAATGTATCGATTCTTTGAGGGGCCAGGTGCTCTGACAAGAATCGATTATTTAACATAGGTTTTAATTGAGGGAATCCGGTGTTGCCAAATTTTTGGATCCGCCTCTACGCATGACACCTCGGAATTCTCTGTAAATTAACCTTAGAACATGGAGAACATACCTATTAAGTTCCAAGACAGAATGTAGCATATTTTCTCCGACGAATAAATAAATATATCAAAAGAGAAAACAAGGCAATTATAGATGCGGTTGGGTTGATTCTAATTAATGCCGTCTTTATGTTATCAGAATGGATTTCTCTGATGATAGGTTTTCCTCTTAATAAGTGGACTAATCATTGAAATGGCAAACTCACATTAGCAAATATACGTATGATCTCTGTTTCCGAAATTTGCATAGAAAACAGGAACTTCTGCGAAATTTCCCTCGATTATCCGGAATAAACTCGCAAAATGTCAAGATAGAATATTACTTAGTTTCTATCGGGGGAATAAAACACGAGAAAAAAATTCGGCGACGACTGATGTAGTCCGGCTGATTCTGGTTGAATCCCGTCCGAATTCAGTTCGATAGCCAAATTGCGGAACTACGTATTCCCATCGCGGTGTTTCAAAATTTTTACTTTCGTTTCATTTTTCCGAAACCAAATTTTGCGCTTGAAATTTATACAAAATAGTCTGCTAATAGAGAAGAAAGATCAAAGACGTTTTCGAGAAATTACGTCGAGTACTTTTCCGAGGAAAAATTAAAGTATGACAGAAAGTCTGCAGCGTTGCAAACGAGGGTACGTGGTTTCGCTTTTTGTCCATCGAATCACGCTGATATCGGTTAAAGTCATCAAATTGTATTACATTATGCAATTAGGCACTGCAATTTCCGGCCCATCTGTAAAAAATCTAAAGTGCATAAGGAACACAATGGCACATACGTTGTTTTTCAGCAGAGTCAGAAATTTTAGTTCCCAATCATTGTAGTCCAATTCATCATCGGTGTACATCCATAGAAGTTGTAGGTTTAGAATGTGGCTGAGAGATTTTGATTTCCGGTTTCCTTTCGGGTTATATGATACAATCCCTGGTTCTGCTTCCACCATCCCGTTCCATCGTACCGTTCCCTCCCCTTTCATTTCACTCTATCTTTTTCCTTTTATCGGGAGGTCCCTGAAAAAAAGCTCACTCATCAGGCTCGAGGGCTAACCCAGATTCTTTGGTCTTGTATTCGCGGCCTTCCTTCCTAGGCGTTTCCGTCAGACCTTTGTCCATGCTCGTCAGTAACCAAAATTCGATAAGCGCGAATCGATTTCAAACTTCGATACTTCCCTCCCGGTCTGCAGGAACGAAAGGATTCGATTCGATGAATCCTGTCGCCATTCAAGCGTGCCTTAGTCAAGGGCTCTGAACATCTGGTTTTTTTCTTATTTATCTCGATGAAGATTTCTCCTATTTCTTTCGTGACCTACTTGGATAGAATACGAAGCGTATCTGGATGAGCAAAATCATTACATGAACCATATTTAAGCATGAAAGAAACATTTTTTTTTTGGGAGAAAGATGTTTTGCTCGTTGGAAAAGATCGGAAGAATCTAACTAAGATTCATATCCTTGTAAAGAATTCTGAAAGAGAATTTTCATTTCTGTGCTTTCAATTTGATGAACGGCAGTATCTCATTATTTGTTCGTTTTTGATCGGGAGGGTTTAATTTTCTACAAAACCGTCATTTATTCATTTTTCCTTCTCTTCATTTTTTCTGCGTCTCTCTTACCCCTGGTAAAAATAGGCAGTAGAATGTGTGTTCCAAAATACCATAGACGTAAAGCCGGCTGTAAGATTCCCAATAGCTTCTGTAGCCGGCTGTACAATTTCATATAGCCTTTTATAGCCGATGGCGACTAAGCAACAGCCAGACGATAAAGTTAATGCTAAACGTTACTAAATACGGATACTAGGATTTAGTTAGTTTTTGGACTACCGCTCTCTTTTTGTGCCGTGGTATCTTGATTTATTTTGCGAGGAATGTTCCGTACTTTTGAAGGATGCCTGTCATTCTTAATATGTTGGAGCGCCTTCAATTTCTTATGCTACTGTGCAATACCTCTGGTGTGAAATAGTTGCTTCAGACGCCGTGGCACGCTGCGGCGCGGCGGGCGGGCAGAGAGCGCGAAACGCGCATTAGCGCCTACAAACCTAACAGGGATACTTCACGCATTGCGCAATGCGTGAAGTATCCCTGTTAGGTTTGTAGGCGCCAGTGCGTCGCCGCTCCGCTTTGTGTTAGACTCTAATATTTAATCTCGCGGAGTTGGCGTTTTTCAACTCATGATTTTGAAATGTTTGCACACTCTGTATGGATAATTATCATTTTCATTGATGAAAAAAAATATGTTTTAAAGGAAAATAGAATGTGTGTTTTGTAAATATTAAGGTAGTTCCGTATCAAACTTAATGATTTCGAAAGCACACGAATTTCTACACAATTTCTTATAGCCTTTTATAGCCAATGGCGATAAAGTGTAAAGCCCAGCGATAGGAACTATAGCCCGACTGTATACTTTTTTATAGCTTCGTGTAGC